AAAAGCGTGTGGCGGCTGAAGCATCCACACAACTAGAAAAATGCATTTCCTGTCAAAAATGTGTGTGGATGCGAATCAGCAGAAGGATTGCCCTGAAAATGCTTGAAATCAATTGCTGAAACAGCCGAAGGATCAGAAGAAATGGCTGAAGTTCATTGCTGAAATAGCTGAAGGATGAGATGAACAGAATGACTGTGCACGTCACTAAGCATAGACGCAAAATGGACAATGAAATAGCTAGATGGAACACTTATCGCAGACCATTGAGTGCAGCTGACATTCTAGTGTACATAGAGCACACAACATGAAACAGAGGAGTGGTACAATCCACAAGGTTCAAAAAATGACAACAACATCAACAGTAGTTTCCCTGAAGCACATTTTTGAACGTGGCATGGCTTACATAGCTCTCAGCAGAGTGACCTCCCGTAGTAGACTGCACCAACTGGACATGGATGAGACTATTCTGATTCAACACTGTTGTTCTGTCTTTTGTGGTACAGCTACAGTGATATTTACATTAACTGTTTATATCAGGTCCTCTGTCATCTCTCCAGCTCATAGTTAAACTTTCCAGAATGTGTCCTTGTGTTCTCCAACCAGAAGCCCTGGATCAACAGTCAAGTACGCCCCATGCTACGCACTTGCTCTCTTGCATTCAGTTCAGGCAGTGAGATTGAGTACAAAGCTGCGAAATACAGAGTGAACAAAGCCATCACTGTGGACAAGAGGCAGTACAGAGAGAAGCTGAATGGCTTCTATTTTACTGCTGATTCTGGACAGATGTGGCAAGGCCTGCAGCACATCACATACTACAGGACCACCACCAGCATCATCAGCTCCACAGAAAGCCTCCCGGATGATCTCAACACCTTCTACACCCACTTTGAGACCTCCAACCGACCCCCCTACAAGGACAACATAAAGTTCACGAACGACACCACAGTGATACGACGCATCACTAGCAGCAACAAAGCAGCCTACAGGAGGGAGGGGGCCGGTCTGGTGTCATGGTGCAAGGACAATAATCTCAGCCTCAACACGGACAAGACGACGGAGATGATAGTGGACATGAGGAAGGAGAGGAGAACTCATCAGCCACTGTTCATCTGGGGGCTCGAAGTGGAGAGGGTGAGCAGCTTCAAATACTTGGGGCGGCTGTACTTCTTGAGGAGGCTGAGGAGGTTTGGCATGTCGCCTAGGATCTTTTGCAACTTCTACAGCTGCATCATTGAGAGGATCTTGATCAGCTGCATCACTGTCTGGTATGGCAGCCCCACTGCTATGGACCGCAAGCGTCTGCAGAGAGTGGTAAAGACCACAGAGAAGATCACCAGGATTTCACTGCCCTCTCTGCAGAGCATTTATCACCGCAGGGTGTGTAGGAAAGCTGCCTCCATCCTCAAAGATCCCACCCACCCAGCACGGACTGTTCAGTCCCTACTTTTGGGGCAGAGGTTCACAAGGGTGACATGCAAGACCTCTAGACCTAAAAACTCTTTCTTTTCCTCTGAAATCAGACTACTAAACAGAGGACAGGCGTTTATTACCAGGAAATACGTCATATACTGACGACCTGTACTGTTTACATTCTCAGTTTGCACATGTATAATTGCACATTGACTGTTGACTACTGCACATACAGCTGCTATGTAACATACATTCTTTTATTCTATTCTCATAAAATTGTATTATATCTGTTCACTTACTGTTTTAACATGACAGATTTTTTGTTACTTATTTATCAACTTTATATTTGTATTGTGTGGCATTCATGTGGACGACAAAGTAAGAATTTCATTGTACAGGGAAACACGTTTCCATACTGTGCATATGACAATAAACACTTTGACTTTGACAAGAAACACGGCTGCAAAGTCATCATGTTCAAAGTCTCATTGCCTCCTCTGTGCACTCACCAGGAGACTAGTTTTTTTTTTTTTTTTTTTTAATAGTTCACATTAGGTTGGAGTGTCAGCAAATTCAAATTGTAATAACTGTTGATCAGCATTTTTTTAAGTTATGTATATAAATATCACTGCATTTCATGGTGTTGTCCCATCCCTTGTAATAATCTTATGCTCCCTTTATTTGTTCCAAGTATTGTTTTTTTGTATATGTGAAATACTTGGGTCAATAACAAGTAGTTTTTAAAGTGCTGCACAAATACATTTGATTTGAAGAGTCATCATGAATTGTGTCTGGCAGATGTTTTATGTCTGCTGCAGCTGGACAGTTGAAAATTATTCAAACGCAACTGACACCTGTCCTATTCAGATTATCCACAAATGGCCAATAGAGGTGTTGGTGTTGTTGCTGCTTATGTCAGAGACCACATTCAAATGTATGAAAAACAGTACATCTATAATGTAACTGACCTTGAGTTCATAGCTTTGAAGGTTGAAGCCCCAGCAAGTGCAGTTGTATACAGACCTCCAGACTACAGCTAGCCATCATTCCTGTCAAACCTGTGAAGCCTATTGGATGGATATGAGATCAATTTGATTGTCACCCCATCATTGGAGCTGTTTACCTCTAAGGGATTGTTGGAAAAATGATTGGCAATATGTTTACTAAGACTACGCTTCCAGAACAAAAAAGGACAATCAAATGTGGACTATTAAATATCAGATCTTTGTCACCTAAATCTGTTAGTGAATGATAAGTGAACATCAAACTGATTTATTCTGTCTTACTAAAACCTGGTTACAGCAGAAAGAATATTTTAGTCTGGATGAATCACCCTCCCAGTCACACTGCCACATTCTCTGAAGCACAGTCTGAGGTGGAAGTGTGGCAGCAATCTTTGAATCGAGCTTATTAATCAACCCTAGACCTAAACATACACTGGCCACTTTATTAGGTACACCTGTACAATTGGATGCACTTCAATGCCACACATCCACCTCATTATCTGTTTATGAAGCTCAAAATGTTTCAGTTTTTGGTGAAATTGTCATAAAATATACAAATTCAATTTTCTATGTATCGAGTTAAAGGTGGGGTTGTACTGGACTAAATTACAGCGATGCTCCTAATATTCTGACCCTCTTATATATGTAAGGGGGGAGGACAAAAATGTAGACACCTCTGTCTTGGCTGTTTAGATGCTAAATGTCCTCTTTGTCGGCAGGCCTGCTTTACATATGGCAAGAAACGCGGGACAGATTTGATGGGCACCAGTTTCGGATGCTGTTAAATACATACTGACACACAGAGTGCCTGATGGCTTGCTACTTGCTGGCTAATGTTAGCTGAATTGTCTTGGAATATAATATTGTTTTTCTAGAAATGAACATTACCATTAATGTTGCCAAGTTACTGTAGCTAGCAAAAAATGCATGTCTGTTTTATATTTCCTGCTCAAGCCCTGCATTTATACAAGTGCATTTTGTACCTAGCTTTACACTGCTTTGTCTAGCCAATGAAAAATGTAGGATAATGTGACATAACCTGTTGTCAAGTCAGAGAGAGGCAGAGAAGCTGGCAGTCTGCAAAAAAAAAGTTGGAACCATGCCACAGGAGAAACACAAAGCAAATGCCATATTTCCAAAGTTAATCCAGTATTTCTCCTACCATTCACTTGGCGAGGTGGCCCACCCTGCCAAAACAACCTCCCGCCAGCCCCCGCCAAAACAGAAGGGCACAAAGCAGGCGCATCTTATATGCATTTCACTGTCCTGTACCATAACTGCTATTCTCTTATGTCCCTACCAAGGACATGGCTTATCCATACTTACAGCTGAGATGAGGATCAAGTCTGACTTACAGTAACCCAAGTGGAAAAGTACATTCAGTGTAACATCAAACGCTTTGATTCAAAGCTGGCATGTACGAGTGCTGAGCGTAGAAGGAAAACCAGGCCAAAATAGCTACTTTTTTTCAATCATGTATCAACTTTTAGTACCGTCACTGAACCTACCGCCACCAAATCTGAGCCTGGAAACAGTGGCCAGGAAGTTTCTAGCTCCTGCCAGTTTCACACACCAGCAAGCACAGGAAGACAGGCTACAAAAGATGGACAAATGTCAACCCCGTGGTGAAAACCATGCAAGAATATCAGTATTTTTCAAGTGAGACTGAGGAAATGGTTCACTTTTTAGCACAACAATGACCAAGCACAACTTAGAGCCAAGTGGCCCAGCCAAAGCCCAGACATGCACTCCATTGAGTATCTGTGGAGAGACCTAAAGATGGCAGGTTAAAGACACTTCACATCCAGTATGATAGAAATTGAGGAAAGAATGGTTTAAAAGGTCCATTGTCATTATGAGTTGGTGTAAACAGATGTGCAAAAATGACAATTTTATCCATTTAAAATAAAATCTACAAAGCATTAAGTTATACAAAACCTAAAAGGAGTGCAACACTTTCTGAATGCACTGTAAATAAACTGCATATTTCTGCTGTTCCTACCTTTTCTGCTTCTTCTGCTTCTTTCTCTTTCCGCCGCTTCTCCTCTTCTTGTCTGGTTTTCATTACATCTACAATTTCATTGAGTTTTTCCTGAACAGCTGTCACCAGGGTGAAAATCATCACCATGCCCAAGTTTTCTTCTGCCTGTATAACCAAAAAAGCGGCAATCAGCAGAAGCAGTGAGGTAAAATCACAATGGCGCTTCACTGCCATCAGCCATTGGCAATGGATGATGCCATCATTCCATCACCCATCTCTAGAAAATGTAAATTTGATTAGTTATAAAGATATAGCTTGCATAAAGTTCATATTTCAAGTCTCCATCTACAGTGAGTAACAACTAACAGTATTCTACCACATGAAACATCACTATAAACTTAGCCCTTTTGGTTTTTATATTTTTCTCACTGGACAAGTAATTTACAGAGCAGATATGCACTTAAGTGTTTGGCAATTACAAATTTGGTTTTAAAGCTGTCTCATGTAAGTTTTGGCAAACTCCAGCCTGGCTTTTTATGTCATTGAGATAGCACTGAATAGTGTGAGCTGATATTGTTGCACCTTGTTCCTGCAGGTCAGCTTGAATTTGTTTTGAAGTTGATCACGGTTCTTTATCCACCATTCGAACAATCCTTCATTTTAATCTGTCATTTGTCTCTTTCATCCACGTCCAGGGAGATTAGCTACAGCTCCATGGGCTGTAAACTTCTTGACAATGTTTTGCACAGTGGACATAGGAACAGCCAGATCTCTGGAAATAGACTTGGAGCCTTGAGACAGACGGTTCGTTGCTCTTCTTTCTTCTCTCCATGCTCAGTGTGATTGACACAACACAAAGGTTGAGTCAACTTTTCTCCATTTTAACGGGTTGCAAGTGTGATTTCTATGTTGCCAGCACCTGTTGGTTACTATAAATTAAAGGAGCATCACGTGCTTGAAATACAACTATTTCTGATGATTTTGAAAAGGTGTCAATAATTCTGTTCAGTCCATTTTTTGAGTTCTCTGTGGAATATATCAGATTTGGCTTTTTTTTCCTCAGCTTTTTGTCTTGCTCCAATGCAAACAAAAGAAATAAACATGAGAACACCACAGAATTTGTGATTACAACAATTTTCTTGGAGAAGTGGTGCGTTATCTAACAGAAATGCAGGGGTGTCAATATTTTTGACCAAGACTCTACCAATGGTGGTACGAGTACCACAGTGTGGGACTCACTGTAGTAGTTTGTGTTCAAGTCACTGAATCTGAAACTGACACAGCAGATGCACAATCGTCAACTCTTACTGCTTTTGTGTGGCAGAATTTCAGTTTTACTTTTTAAAGAAATGACCAGGGCAGAAAGGAAACTGACAAATGCAAAACAATTAGTTTCCACCAAAAAGAACTTAGGGAGCAGGAATCTTTTTTGGAACTTAGTTCCTCTATTTGCATTTCCACGGCAAACCAAGCCGCTCAATCGCGCCACACAGCTCATGAAATATATTTTTCGCTGTGGTGCGGCCATGTATCGGACACAAACTCAGCAACTCTTTTGTCACCTCAAAACTGTCATCAACACCCCTGATGAAAATTGCTAACTGAGCATTGTCAGTATTGTCAGTACTTTCATCCAGCGCGACAGAATATGCAAAGAAAGTTCGGGCTTTTCCCGTAACTGTTCGTAGATATTATCTGACAATCCATTAATCTGCTCTGCCACAGTGTTTGCCGACAGAACAACGTTGCTGAACAAGCTCTTCTTTTCAGGACAGAGTATATCAGCAGTTTGAAGCATGCAGTCCTTCACAAACTGTCCTTCGGTGAATGGCTTTCCAGCCTTGGCGATTAATTTACTAACCACGTAACTTGCTTCAACTGCAGCCTCAGCGTCCTTACCGGTTTTGTGGAAAAGTCCTTGCTGGAATACTAGTCCTCTTTGTAGCTGCGTGGCTCGTTTTCTCCTGTCATCTCCATTGTAGTTCTCATAATGTTGTCCATGTTTACTCCAATAATGGCGCTTGATATTATATTCCTTAAGAACGGCGAGTTTCTCTTTACAAATGAGGCAGATTGCATTTCCACCTAACTCAACAAAAAAAATACTGCAATGTCCACTTTTCTTGAAACTTATCTGTGCTCACTGTCGACTTTTCTTTTTGATTTTGAAAGTGACATACATTCCGCGCTACTTCTTTTTCGTCTTCTTATTTTTTTTGCCGCGTGCTCTGGAAGCAGCGCCACACTGTATGGCTCCGGACCTGCGCTTCAAAACTTTTGTTCCATATTTACCATTTTCAAAATAAATGTGTTTTTTATAAAAAAAAATTATAAATAATTACAAATACTTAATTTTCACAATAAGTGGTTATTGTGGGGATAAAACGAAATAACAAAATATACCTTCAAGGGCCGAGTTACATTACTATTTTTACATCAGGTCGCGGGCCGGAAATAGGGGGTCCGCAGGCCGGGAGTTTGAGATCCCTGCACTAGAGGATCCAGGGTCTAACTTTAGTTCTACCCCCAAAAAGTACCTTGTCAGAGAGTAGTGCTTTCTTAAGGTCCAAGGGCAGCCATGCAGTATTGAACGTTGCTGATTGGACAAATACAAGGCTCTACAATGCGAGCAAAAAATCAGTGTGCCAGTCTGAAAAATGATATAGGGGTCACCGATGCAACCAACTCTGCAGTTATACGCTTCTGATGACCAGTATTTGATTGTTTGTTGTGTCTTGTTGCTTTTCTTCATTTCTCTCTCCTCTATCCACTCACCCTAACCAGTCGGGGCAGAAGGCTGCCCACCAAGAGCCGGGTTCTGTCGGAGGTTTCTTCCATTAATAGGAGTTTTTCCTCCCCACTGTCCCCAAGTGCTGCCCAAGGGGGATTTGTTGGGTTTTCCTCTATAATAATAGTGCTAATAGTAAGGTCTAGACCTTACTTTGAAAAGTATCCTGAGATGACTTTTGTTGTGATTTGGCCCTATACAAATAAAATTTGAATTGAATTGAGTTCCCTGGGTTATTTTATCAGTAGCGCTACACAAAAACACCAGCGAGTGAGATTAGTAGATTGGAAAATATGGTTTTGGTGTTCTTGGAGTACACTCCTGACGTTTGACCTAAGGATTGAGCTCTCACACATAGAGAGCAACAGGCAGAGGCTGCAGAGGGGAACATGACATTGACTTAAATGAAACATTACTCAGAGTTAACAATCCCTATGCTTGTTATTGTATGCGCAATAAAACTTTGGTGAGTAAAAAGAAACGGCTCCCTGGCTCTGGAGCTGTATGTTCCTGATGAGCAGTCACAGGCCACATTATCCTGCCCGGTGTTTGATTGTTGTGTCTCAGTATTTCTCTTTTCTCTCTCCTCTATACACCCAAAACAGTTGAGGCAGACGGCCTCCCATCAAGAGCCTGGCATTGAAAACTGGCGAATCACTGCAATTAATGTGAACAGTTTAATGTGTTTTTTTTTTTTTTTTACTTCCTGTGGCTATGTGCTAATGCTTCTGCATTCTTCCTGCACTTCATGTGGCCAAAGCCCAATTCATTTATCACTGAAGTAATTCATCTTTGATGTATCACCTGAAGCAGGGATACTCTGCCAGGCTAATTTACTACAGTGTGGCACCATTCTCCAAGCAAACAAATGACAAAATAACAGAGGCTTTAGATAGCTGGAGAGCTAAAAATCAAGGGGGAGCCAGGATGCCAGGTCAGGGGGTAGATATCATTAGCCCCACAATCGCAGATTGATTCAAGAGCAGCTGACCTGAGATTGAAGATCATGAGCAAGATGGACACCTGGAACTTCCAGTTACCAAGACTAAAAAGTCTTCTAGTCTACTAGAGGATGTGAATGCAGCACATTCCCTACTACAGTCCCCACTACGACCAACAAGCTCATATACACTACAGCAACCGTCATCCTTCAGATGCTTGGCTACACTACCAAGATCAAGGCAGCAAGGAGAGAAGTTAGCCAGCTATCGGAATTGCAGAACGGCATGATGAAGAAAGGGGTACCTAAGAAGTACACCACACTGAACGTACCTCAGGCCTTAGGCCACGTTCACACTGCAGGCTGAAGTGGCTCAAATCCGATCTTTTTGCCCAAATGTGACCCATATCCGATTTCCTTATGACAGTGTGAACAGGACAAATCCAATTTTTTCAAATCCGGCCCAGGCCACTTTCATATGTGGTCCTAAATCGGATACCACGTCTGATGTTTTGCAATGTGACTTCAGTCTGAACGGCCATGTCGCATTTCATGCGATTTTTACAGTATGTCACTGAAATGCGACAGACGTCACAATTCTGCGCTGGAGGAGGCGAGGCCATAAGCAATATTTGTGCACTCCTTCTTCTTGATATTCTTCTTATTATTATTTCTTTATGTCAATTGCGCATTAACTGGTACATCGCTACGCACATGCTATCACAAGCCGCATCCATTTTTATTTCCACAAACACAGTACACTGCGTCTGACGTCACGTCCTCTTCTGCACATGCGGGTCACCTCAGGGCCGTATACCGTTCACACATGAAACAGATGGCAGTCGCATTTAAATGACAGTGTGAACAACAGTGCAAAAAATCGGACTTTCGGCAAAAAATCCGATCTGAGCATTAAGACCTGCAGTGTGAACGTAGTCTTAGAGATTGCCAAGCAAAGGCTCACAGCCCTGGCCACCCTGCTGAAGAGGTACACCAGAGAAGTTGAA